CTGTCGGTCATATTACATGCAATCATACACATTCTTTGTATTAATGTAAATAAAACATTCTGACAATTATTTTCATTTTATTTATTCGTCTAAATGTATAATGATTTAAATAAAAAAAGAAATGTTTGTTTCCTATTTTTGTTTAAGATTTGTATTCATTTAAGAATAGGTTAATATAAATAAGAAATATAACATGTGTACAGAAACTTAAAAAAAAGTAAATTATTGAAAAGAGCGGAGTCTTTAAATTGACTTATGTTTGCATCAAATAATGGGGATTTGTATAAAAATAAAAACTGCGAACATAAAACAAGTATTTCTGCTCGTTAAATTATCAAGACTGAGAAACAATTTTATCTTAAAATTTATAAACCTATTTTTTAGAAGTACTAACCAATTTTCTTTTCAAATAATTATGTTAATCTGTTAACTCTGATAATTTTTGTTATTATATTGAATAGATAAACCATAACCTATTTTTCGACTATCAATTTAATAAATTACTATTAAAATAAATAGAATTTGAGTGTCTCTTTTCGATATGATCTTTCTTGCACATAATAAATAATTTGATTCGCACCCCTGCTGTTAAGTGATAATTGAGATCGCTCAAGATTATAAAGTCCAATTAGTTGACCAATCAAGCATACATAGGTCGTGTCACACACACTGATTAATCCTTTTGTACTACCATGTCCAGGGGCTGTAATACCTTGACATATTCGGTGTTTAAATGTCGTTATTTTTAACTCGGTGTCTTTTTTACCCTGAAGGGAAGTTATGATTAACGCATTTAACAAATGCCCTTTTCATTTTTTTTGTTTTTGCATTTTTCATACAAATTATTAAATAAACAAGATACAGTTTAGAAATCAAAATCAAACTCGTAACCTCCCAGTCTAAATTTAGGGATATATCCCTGCTTTAATTATCTAATCCGGCGGCCATATTGGATAGCGAAACATTAGATTAAACAGTGTTAAAGTTTTCTAAAAACAAATCAGTTTAACCCTGAAATAAGCTGTTGTTCACAAAATGCAACTATTCTATTGATCCCATATTGATATTGCAACGATAAAAAATAACTTTAACCTACCTTGTTTTGCAATATTCTGAATTTTATTTACTATCCATTTCCAATCACGTTTTTTCTTTTTTCATTTCGCCCGCGCTATTTCTGATTGGTTGATAGGATTCACGTGATACAAAACCAACGCTTTAAACTCATTGGCTGTTTTAAAAACGCGTGATATGCCTAGATACGTTTGTAGCATTAATAATGCCACTGATTTATATTAAGGTCGGTGATAACGCGGAAGAAAGCAGCATACTAAGACCTTTATTCGATCCAAAATGATGCAATATTACATGTATTAAATTGGAAATATCATGTATCCATAAACGATAACTTTGCATACATGTATAACATAACCATTGATACTTTTTCATAGGCAAAACTTTGATTCTAATGCTCAATCGGTTATTTATTTTTTTGATAATAATTATTATAATAATAATATTAATAATAAATGATAATAATAATAATACTTATGATGATGATGATGAGGATGATGATAATAGTGATAATAATAATATAATGATGATAATGATGATGATGATAATGATAATGATAATAATAATAATTTTAATAATAATAATAATAATAATAATAATAATAATAATAATAATAATAATAATAATAATAATAATAATAATAATAATAGTAATAAAAGACGTTTCAGAAGCGCTAAGAAATATTTATAAATTAATAAATAACACAAATTTTTGTGACAACAACAATAAGCGGGTAAAACAAAAGACCCACATTAAATTTAAAACATAGGACAAAAGCCCCCCCCCCCAGTCCATCAAACAAAAGCCTCCCTAAGGTTTATAGACCAGACTGATTACTATCTATTTTTGCACGCCCAGTGTTCGGGAACTTGGGTTATACTTCAAATAAATCTAGACAAGTATGCGCCTTTCACTTTTATTTTCTTGATAAGCTTTGAAAAGCGATTCTCTGAAAATATTCATTTACATTTGTTCTGCACAATATATAATAAAGTAAACATAAAAACATTCATATCATCAATGAATTATTAGTACGAATTACACAATAAATCAAATTAGAACTTTTGTACCTTTAAATTTAAATCTTAATGTAAATTATCTTTTAAAACAATTGCATTTATTTGTTAAAATACATCAAGTTCCAGATTTAAACTGACGTGATTCTCAATAACAATTGTTTGATGGACTGGGGGGGGGGGGGGCTTTTGTCCTACCTGTATTTTTTGATGGGGGATGGGGCTTTTGTCCTACGTGTAAATTTCATGGGGAAGCTTTTGTCCACCTTGTCATTTTTAGATGGGAGGGGGGCTTTTGTCCGTATCCCTATTAAAATAAATAAATTACTTACTTATACACATAAATGAAGTATAAAGATGCTTTCACATTATCTGCAGATTTCATATTTAAATTTAAAATAAAACTTTATTAGTATAAAAATATTTGGAGTATCGGTAAAAATTCGAAAGTCCAATTTAAAAAGTGATTTTACTATCAATATATAATTTAGTATGTTCTTAACTTGAGTTTTTAAATCAAACTACGACAATTTTTATTTTTTTAAACAGAAACTTACTTTTACAAAAACTGTTTCCAAGATACATAATTTTATTTTAACCAGGTAACAAATGTTAATTTACATAGCACGGTCATGTTCCCCTGTCCTGAACAATGTTCAAGTCACCGAATTATGCAGAAACACGGCTGATGGGAGGAGATGATGATGATATTTTTCAAGAAATGCTATTTCGAATAATTTGACATCATCTATCAACAATACATGTACATACACCCCAGTGACATCCATCTGATTCTAGCTTGTGAACTAATATATAATTGGACCTGGCGGCAGGGTACTTCAAAGTTTACTTTAAGATAAATCTTAATTGTGTCTTGTTTAAATGACGAATTCTGCCGAATTAAAGGATAACAACAACACGACGCTGCAAAAGCATTGGAAAGAATACAGCAGCTATGTCTGTTTCATTTTAATATGTCGGGTTAGAGTCTTTATAATATCTAGAACAAAATCACATAGGATTACAATTTAATTCACTTATTTCGTACATGAATTATATTAGAAATTGACAGTAAAAATACCGTTAAGACATTCAACACCAATCGCGCTAACTTACCTAATCGGAGAAAACCGACACTCGATATACCCTGCTGCGTTTATGATCAATATCCGGATCAATATCCGGCTTAATCAGTATTGTCTTCGATTATGGCAGTACAGCACGTGGCTATTACACAATATTATGTCATAAATGAGACCGCGCGAAAAGAAATCAAAATTGGGGAATTCGGAACTTCATAAAATTTCTATTCAAAACTTGTGTACAGAAACGCAAATCTTTGTTTCCTGAAATAAAAGATTAAATAAATAAATAAATAAATAAATAAATAAATAAATGAATAAATGAAATGAATGAATGAATGAATGAATAAATAAATAAATGAATGAATGATTGGTTGATTGATTCAATGAATGAATGAATGAATGAATGAATGAATGAATGAATGAATGAATGAATGAATGAATGAATGAATGAATGAATGAATGAGATATCATTGATGTTTTTTTTTACATATGCAAGTACATGTATTATATTATGTATAGCCTTTTTTATAGGACATATATCAACGTAAAATTTAATTGCTGTGTGGACAATCCCGATTTCATCTTCGTGATTTCACAATTATTTTAACTTTCACGATTTCAACTTCACAGATCCACGATTTTATTATAATTAATTAATGTTTTGCAAATTGAACATCACAATTTCAACTTTATCATTTTCTCATGTTTGGCTTATCATTATAAACTATTATAATGATAATGAAAAGGAAATTACAAAATAACATGGTTCACCATAGATGCAAAATGCAAAACAGTACTATCTAATCGTGAATCGCAATTGTAAAGTATTCGCTATTTATCTGCGGGTGTATGCTAAAAAGCAAACCAAGCGGTATTGAGTTAGAATACCGCGTCTTCATGTTACAGGTGGATGTCTTACACGTTCTGTGCACTGACGATATTATTTGTACGCAATTGACGCGTTAATAACTCCAGGAAATTTTGCATTGTGTTAATTGTCAAATGTCTGACAAATATATGATCAGACTATTTCTTTACTCTTTCAGGAGTAAGGCTATTCAGAAGTAAATTTTCATTCGCTATTTCTTTATACAGAATCCGTATTTGCACGAATACGGAATTTCGTATTTTAGTAATATACGGACTTGTTATAAAAATTCCGTATATTAGTAAAATACGGACTTCGTACATCAAAGTTCCCGTATATTACGAGTGTACAGAGTTCGTATATGTGTCATATACGGACTGATATAATATACGGTCCCGTACATCTCCGTATTTCAAGTTTCCCGTATTCTTACACGTATATTAATGATATACGGAATTCCGTACACTTCCGTATATCCATGTCTTTTTCGCAGTGTATATAGGGTCATATAATCTGCCAAAATCTGTATTGCTAATTATATTAAATTATATAAGAACTGTGAAAGAATGAATCCATTAAATCAAACTAAGATATCACACATTCTATCAACGATTTATTGTTTTCTTGTTTGAAATTTAATACACACCTTGACAATTGATCTGATCTATTCGTCTGATGATGTTCAGACTTATCATGAGCTTAAGAGACCTATTAAGCTATATAAATTTTTTTATAGTATTAAATCATTTTGAAGAAAATGAAATGAGAGTTATCCATGAAATAAGAATAAAATAGTTTAAGTATTAATAATAAGAATTCGAATTAAATAAATTAATTAACTACATTTATATTTTGATTTGATGGTATTTTGTTATCAGAAACATTATTCTCATTATCACTATAATATATTTTTACAGTTTACAAACTGGAAAAGTGTTTTGATTTTTCTTATTGCAGTATATGGTGTAGCTTTATCGTATGATAAGACATGCTACTCCGTCTCGGAAACAATGAAACTTACAGCTTTTTACACCGGAAATGGGTCGGTTACTGCTGTTGAGTGGTATTATAGTGGTAAAGAGGATAGCAATTTGATCATTATAGCCAGCACTTGCAGGATTTTTGGAGCGCTAGACGCGGGGTACCCTGACGAATCAAGAATGTCATTCACCTGCTCTCCGACAATAAATTCATTTACACTTACAGTTGCTGAGTTACTGAGTGATGAGCTCGACAAATCTTGGGGAGCAACATTCCACTTATTTGCAGGATTGAGCCCTCCTGTAGTTAAACAATTCATTATATACTGTAGAAGTGGTAAGATACAGTAGGGTGAACGTTTCGGTTGTCAAAAACAGCGTATTTCGTGCGTCCGTTTTCCGTGTAACGTGCGTGCGTATATCGTGCAACGTGCGTTTGGTGAAACGCTTTCTCAAGCGTGCATCGTTTACAAGCGTTTAACTTTTATCGTTTTTCGTGTATCGTTTTTCGTTTATTGTGCGTTTGAAAGCGTGCGTTTGATTTCCCCAGAAACGTTTACCGTGCGTCTGCGTTCGTCTAAACGTTTAAGTACCGTGTTAAGTGTCTGTTACTATTCAGAACTTAAAAATATCTTAAACAGATCTGTTTTGTAAATTTCGGGTTTCTTAAAGATGTTCAGTGTCTCTTTCAAGGAATAAAAATATTATATAAAGAAATATTTTTAATTGTGATATTTTCGTTTTTAAAAGTTTCTGACCTAATGGTGAATACCGGATTTCGACGTGCTTTACGCCGAAGTTTAGTTTAAATTCTTTTTTACATACACTTAGGATTTAATCACTATTTAATTGCAACATGTTTGATATTCAATTCAGCAAACATATGTAGACATCTATATGCGTACCAATATATCAGATATCAGGTTCATCAGACATTATATGATGGTAATCAGACTAGTCCGCCCCCTCCCCCTTTACCAGTTCATCTTCTGACATTTTTACACAGACTGTCCAAATCCTATTTAGGGTGATATTAAATTTAGACAATTCCTTACCGTTTTTCATATTTCTTTTTCTTATTTACAGATTTTTATTGATATGTAACAGCCTGGCAGGGACTCGAAGCCCTGACACTCGGTATACATGTACATTTGCCATTCCGCGGCTCTTTCCGCTGAGATATTCGGCCGCTTACCCTTTATTCCTCTAAATACTGAATAGTTCTAAACCGTAAAATACTTCCCTACTATATATGCAAATATTTTCTTGAATTTCCCAGAGTTACAGAGCAAAGTGAAAGTATGAAAATCAACAAAGGGCAATAACTAAAAAAATAAGAAATGCAGAGTACCGGTTCTTAGGTACTGCACTTTTTCTTAATGAGATCTATCATCCTATGAAGTTTCAAGTCCAAAGCTTTTATACATTAGGAGAAATGGCCCGGACAAAAATAAAGTATGAAAATTAACAAAGGGCAATAACTCAAAAATTAAGAAGTGCAGAGTACCGGTTCTTGTTCAAAGCACTTCGGGTCATTATAAGAAGCATGCATACCAAGTTTGAAGTCAATCTAACTTATAATGACTGACTTGTGCTCCGGACAAGCTTATCGGGACGCCGACACGGACGCCAACAACGACGCCGCCACCGACAAAAATAACCCCTATATATTGCCTTTTTCGAGGCGACACAATAAAACTGCTTGACAACATTTACATCAGTCATTTGGTAAAAAGAGGGAGGGCTGCAATAGAAAGGAAAGGGGAAGAAAGTTTAGGAAAACTGTGCATACAATGCCTACAGAGGTTGAAGGCAGCCAGGAAAGCTCGCCTCAGAAGAAATAGCAATGAATGGCCATTCTTGGTTTTCACTTAACAAAGTTATCCAAAGTAGCACTTCAAGTTCTATAAATTGCCTGTTATCAGCATGAGGTCATGACGCCACAGTCTATCACCAAAGCTTATTCTATTAACAATCTGAATATCAAAAAAAAAAATATAATTGGATGAGTCCTGCTGCAGGATACCTTTAGGTATGGCCTTTTGAAATTGAAATCTAAAGTATATTATACAGCCAGTCACACAAAATATCCATTATTTCATTCTATTTATAATAAAAAATAATAAGAAAGTTTCTGTATAGCCTGATAAGCACACTGCCAATAACTTAATTGTTTATAAACAGCTAGAATAGTCTGTCTGAGATAGACATATAAGGACAAACAATGTGGTAAACATGAGTTGCTTCCCCTTAAATTAGAGACACAATGGAATTAATTATTAAATATATGCATGTAACATGCTTGAGCTCAATGAGCTGTCTAGTATTTACTGTATTAATTTGAATAACTTAGTATAGGGAGATTGACATATTTCTAGGGATATTTATTTTTTATTTTTAGGGAGTGCCCTTGCTTCACTGGAGCTAGATAGGTTAATAAAATTATGACGCACTCTCATCTTTAATCCAGGAGTTCTGCACTTACCATTTTGGGTTTTAAAGGTATATTTGAGCTAATAATTCTTTTTTTCTGTACTAATTGTTGATGGGGTAGGAATGTGAGATGGCCTGAGATAGCTTAGTCAGTAGAGCCCCCATATGGTATTCTGATTGTCCGGGGTTTGATATCGGGGCAAAATGTAGAGCCATGGTGGTATATAGATGAGACATATTCTCTAAACACCAAACAGTTGTGGAGTTCAATATGGCAGGGATGTCACAGTACTAACTGTCCAATGATTAGGGAAGGGGAAGGGGATATCGAAGAAACCTTATAGCTCAGTTGGTAGAGCTACAGAATGGTATTCAAAGTGTCCATCAAGCCCCCAAGGTTTGAGCCCCAGTCAGGCTGCACAGTTACTTTCGGGAACCAACACAGGGCCAAACTATGATAAACAAGATCAACAAGGAAAGGCGGCGTTCAATGAAGACTGTATAAACAGACATCTCACTATGTCAGTTCATCAATTATTTAAGGAGATATTTCAATAAAGGGGAGGGACTATGTTCATGTATAGCGCGGACCGCATATTAAGAGAAAAATGTTTATACGGTAGAGCTGCAGTACGGTATTCAAAGGGTTCTTGGTTCATACGGTAGTGCTGGTGAGGCATGATATTCTGAGTCTTTGTTTTGAGTCTCAGTCAGGCTGCATAATTATTTTCTTACTCTGTGATTAATAAGTATTTCCAGCTAATTATTTGCTTGCCTGCATTTATTAACGATTATGTCTTACGTCAATATTGTGAAATTTTTAATTATTGTCTAGTAATGTGATTTTATGGTTTATAAGACATTGTAGCAGTACTAAATTTGACAGTTTTTGAATAAGGGGGTTGAGTTTGCATAGACTTGTGTGGACCTAGGCAGTTGCCCTCAATTAATTGCCTCCTCACCAGTGAGTTTTTTTAGGATAGCCTGTAAGGATTAATCACTTAGATTATTGTAATACCACAGGAGTATTTTCCTCAACTGGGTGTAATCAGAAACCATATAGAGTTCTCCTCTGTAACATTTAAAACAACAATGTGAACTTTACTTGGAGTTTCATACTATCACCTATTCCACAGGGACTATGATGGTATGAAACGATGGTATAAAAGTCCTATTCACATTGTATCTATTCAAGGATGAATTTCAATAAAGCAGGGATATATGTCATGGTTCCAAACTGTCCACTATTTAGGGAGGTGATGTGTAAGCAGCCTAATAGTTCAGGTGGTTGAGCTGCAGAATAGTTTTCGAGGGTCCGGGGTGCAAGTCTCGGTAAGGCAGCATATTTTTCAAACTTGTGACAGTAACATAAATAATATTATGTATTTGATAATGCTTAGTAATAATATAGCATATTAATACATATTAAGCGCATGTCAATAAATATCAATTTTAAGTGATATGAAAAATATTTTCTGTTGCACTGTCTTTGTAAATCCAATAACTTTACATTTTACACATGATTCACAAATTCTTGGAGTCCCACACGTTAGTCCTCCCCATCTTGCACTAATGGAGGTGCATGAGGTTGACTGGTTTCCTTATTTTCGTCATTTATTCATCTCGATTACAGTTTCAGACCTAAAATAAAAGTACATTCTTAATATTTTTATAGACTCATAAACTGTAATGCCCTAGAAATTTTACCTTTTTGAGATTTCACTGGATTTCAGTATTGTTGATTTCTACTTTCACTTTCGTTTTGAGAAGCTTTTACTGGCAACAACACATTAAATCATGCGGTGTCCTTATGTAACATACAGGACATCAACTTAAATCTACGTATTGTGCAAGCACTTTAATCCTTCCTGATTCTGAAAGCTTTTCCCTTAATGTTATCCGTGATAGAATCCTTTGTTTTTAATCTGTTTCCCAAAATAGTTAATTCCTTTATTTTACACTCAAGATTTTAATGTTCGATTGTTTATGATGCAGCCTCACTTTATATATAGATTTGCCTAAAATATCCATCTGAATTTAATTGAAAGCACTGTATATTTATGATAATTAATGCACTTTTCCATGTCGGCCATGTTGGACTATTACGTAGAGGTTACGTAGGCCTATATACTGTTGCCAGGTTACGTAGTGAATGCAAGGGATAGTTCTTTATCCGATTGCGCATAAAAAGGAACACGTTTAATTATTTTACTTACGTTATTAGCGCATGATAGCTTATATTTTTTAAAAATCATTTGTTGAGGCTGTGACAAAAATTAATTTTGGTGCTACATGTAGGTTGAATGCATTTAAGCTCAAACATAAACTCGTTGAAAATACATTTCTAGCTATCATTTAATCAAACTTAATCGCTAAATGATCTACATGTAGCAAAAGTTGTTAAAAAGTTAATATGATTACGATATTTTAATAAAGGATTAGAAACGTTTTCATTTTGCGTGCGTTTTAGCGTGCGTATATCGTTTAGCGTATTTCGTTTAGCGTATATCGTTTTGCGTGCGTCTGCGTATTTCGTTTCGTATAGCGTGCGTATAACGTTCGTTCGTATAGCGTGTAACGTGCGTGCGTTATTTCCAGAACGTGCGTTTTGCGTGTAAACTGAAACGTTCACCCTACTGTATAAGGTTTCTATCATGGCAAAAGTTAAAATAAGTTAATTTGTTCCTATCAAATAAGGTATTTCCCAACAAAAAACTAATACATTTTAACGATGATATTACAAACTAGTATCCCTGTGTAACAATTATTTTAAACATTCCATTAGTCATGATTTTGAGCGGCATATATATGTATCTAACATACTTTGATAGAAATATCTATTTGATGCAATTAAATTATCCAAAATGTCATAATTTTCCAGTCATAGACTCAACATAGTAAGTTACACATGAAAATGACCTAATTATATATTTCTTCTTCATAAAAAGGGTTAAAGAATTAGGTTGTACGATTAAAACATCGTTTTCCATTTACGTCAAATCCTGTACCTTGATGCTACAGCTCTTATACATATGTAGTATGAAAATTGGTGTAGCTATTGGTATGTATAGTCGTCGATGACTTTTAACTCAGAAGTATAAATGTCAAGAATTCTGTAGTCTTGGCGATTCAAAGTTTGTCTTACACTTATTACGGAATGCTTTGGCCTACATTTCTAAGCATTTGTGTTCTGGTTACCTTGTAGGTAATCCTTAATGATTTTGAGGCATGTATGTCAAAGGTCAAAAACATCTCAGTCTTAATCACTGAAAGCTTGTCATTCGATTAATTAAAGAACGCTTAAGCAAACTGTCCATCAATTTGGTTTCGAGATTTGTAATAGCTAAAAAAAGACCCGGATTGATTTGAGGTAAGAAGATCAAAAGTAAAGTCACAGTTGCCTTGACTTCTAAGTATTTTATAAGAATTTTATGTGTTCGTTGTGATATAAAGGTCGCTTGAATGATTACACTGTGCTGTGCTATGCGAGAGAGACAACTTCCATTATTACACATTTCCTTAACTAAAGCCGTGTTCCAATTGTAGCTAACGATGCTGTACGACTTGAACTTATGTTATCAAACAATTTATTCCATCATCAAATCATGCGCATTATTTGCAAAAAAAGGTTTTCCACAGGTTTCGAATATCTTCTAACTTTTTGAACTTATTTTAGTATTTCTATGGATAATAGAAAAGTCCTACATGATATAATGTCATTTGTTATCGTCTTGTGCCGTTTTTAAGCCATGACTGCGAAATTACCGTCCAACACGAAATCTCCCTTTTTCACATAAATGTTGTAGAAATTTCGCCCTGTAGTAAGGTTCGTTCGCACCAAATTTTCGTTAACTTCTACTGCGCTCTGGCATGTTTAATGAATTTATAATTTGTGAAATTACATCGTGCTTCAAGTCTCCAAAACAGTGGTTGCTATGGACACTTTTCATTGTTTTTAGTATAATCATGTAATTAACAATCTGCAAATGAAAGACAAAAGAAGTTGTTTTACAAGTATAAAATATTTATTTTGTCAGGAGAATTCCGCGAAATAGCCTTTGTTTTAAACATTTATTATGTTTTGAACCTTAACATTTATAAAGTATACATATTTTTGTTGATATGCCTCTGTGTTAGCGGAGACATTCGTAAGTGTCCATGGATATATTTCAATAATCGTTTCGGTTCCAACATTCTAACCATAAAGCAAAAAGCGTTTGTCCATTTAATGCAATGCATGTATTTAGTATTAATTTATGATTACTGTTTCCAAGGAAACTCAAAATAAATGTAACAAAATTAACAGTATTCAAAGTAAGGTGGTTATAATTCTCAAAATATTGCATATTATTAAAATCGTAAACCAATCGAGGTTGTTAAAATGTTTTTTATTTATATGATGTTGTTTTTTTCATTTTTAGCGAACTTCGGATATAACGAACGATATTTTAATGTCCCATTGAGTTCGTTATAAGCGGAGTCGACTGTATTATGTTTCCAAAAGAATAGTCACTGAGTATAGCACAAAACATTATTCGGTCAAGCCCAGAAACCTACTTATATACTCGAAAAACATAAATCAGAATTGTTTGATAAGCTGGAAATATAAGCAATATTGAATACTTGTGGCGAAGAATATGTATGTTTCGCCTATGATTTATCTATCCGGATTATGTAAAAGAAAATGAAGTGTATAGACAACTACAAAGATTGACTTCATTTATGGTAAATAAGACTGAATCTGTTTTAAGACTTATGTGTACAAAAAATAAAATTCTGGTTAAAATTTTCTTAAGGAAGCAAATATATGTTACTGTATACGAGTTACTCAAATCAAATCTATCCAAGTAAAATTAATTTGTTTTCAGTATTGAAAGATTTATTTTCTTCAGTTAGATTTGTTGATGCAACCAGTTTATGTTTTATTAATTATTGTACAAGAAAGCATACATTTACATTTTTGCAAAAGCCTTTGAATATCAAGGCTATACTCGTATATATGAAAATATCAGCAATAGGCTTGCTTTGGTAATTCCTTCAAAATTATTTTGGTATTTGACTTTAATGTGTAAATTCCATGAGAGTATTCGATATACATAATAATTTACATCAAAGAATATAAAGGTAGTGTGATCAAATTTAATATCAACACTTTATCATTATTACAAATCTTGAAGGCATTCAACAAGTTTCTTTTATTTTCCATTTCAAATGCATATGTTCATTAAATCAAGCACTAAATATTTTCTTTTAGCCTATTCTAAACGTTAAAGTTTCATCTCGGAACGTATTAACGTTTTCTTTGAATTAAATATATTTCATTTGTGATTTTTCTTTTGACAGGTACAACAATTACAACACGGAACCATTGTAAGAAATAAACCTTTTACCTTCGAACTCATCAAACAAATATTATATTTCATTCTATAGTTGTTACATTTACATGTTTTATTGTACCAGAAATATACACACCTTTGAATAAACCTTCGTATCATAAGGCTTGTTTAAGTGAGTTCTAAATTATTTTGGTAATTAACATTTTTGCGTGAAGTACAGGATGATGATTAATATACAAGCAATATAAAATGTATTGTCATCAAATTTGATATCAATACTTAATCATTATAACGCATCTTAAAGGCTATATCTAAACAACGTAACCAAGTTTCGCAGATTTGCAAATTTCAAATGCATATTAAGTTCATTATTAAGTCAAACACTATTTATTTTCTTAAGCTCATATTTAACTTTAAAGGATCACTTAAAGATTAAAATCTTTTTTTTTATATACTTTTGACTTTTTTTCATATTACTATAATGGAAGCCCGTAGTCCGAGGGTAACACGCCCGATATGCCGAAGGCCATCTGAAATCAGTTTGCCTTCCTATAAAATTTACAGGAAAGAACTGAATATTAGAAGAATTTTTATTGGCCAATCAAAATTAGAAACTGAAATCAGGAAATGTCATTTGAAATTCTAAAATAAAATGTTAAGAATATAAAAAGGAACAAAATCAATACTATTATAATTATATTTCTATTTTAACAAAATATTGTTGTTTTTATTTTCTTAGCTACAAGAAATTATTAAGTAATTGTTATGCAAGATTTGCGTAGAATTTAATATGTATCCTTTTTTTGTCCCGGATGTACCGAAAACTTAAAAATATTATTATGCAACTTTGGCCGAGTATTGTTTTAAAGATACATCTCGTTTTCGCTTGCTTGGATTCTAGTCATACAGAAATATACATATATCCATTGAATGCATTGACAAGTATGTCTGCATGTCCGGTCCATATCAAACACCATTTCATACTCTTATTTTTTTTCTTATAAATAATTTAATTATTTTAAAATTCAAATGAGCCGAGATGAGAAAATTAAAGTAAATTTATCTTCAGTTTCAGTAAAGTACCGAAACATTTAGTAAATTATCTACATGCTTTTTTAATATCATTTTTTTTACAGTTACAACAACTTCAGCTAAAACAATTTCATCATGGAACCATGGTAAGAGATAAAACTTTTACCTACGAACTCATCAAACAAATATTTGCATTTCGTTCTATTATTGTTATATTTTCATGTTATATTGTACAAGAAAGCATACGTACACACATTTGAATAAGCCTTCATATAATTATGCTAAATTCATAAAAATATTAACCATATGCTTGCTTTATAATAAATTTATAATTCCTTTGGTAAATTAAATAAACATTTCTGCGTGAAGTAAATAATGATGTTAATTATACATGTTTTTAAAGCAATATAAAGTGTAGTGTAGTGTAATCAAATTTAATTTCAATATTTAATCATTGATCTCATGAACTTTTTATTCACTGAATCGACGAAGGCAGTCACTTGATGTATAGTAGGTAAACATTCTCACTGCTAATCGTTTCATTCTGTTTTCAATACATATTTAACGTTGCTACTAATTTTCTAGCAGACAACAAAAGTACGGAGTTATGTTTCAATGCATGAATTCCTTTTAAAGCATAAGAAGGTGAATAAGAATATTGTACTTAGACATAGAAAAAACCTATATTTAACAACATATTTTATTTTTTATCCGAGTTATTGGATGCCAGCTAAAGCTGTTATAAAACAACTTTATCATCGTATTTATATATAATAGTGAGTTAGATTTTATCAATACCCACTACCTAATAACATAACATTTGTTTTTCTAAACTTGGAATTGGTTACTTTAAGTAAGGACATTTTATATATGGAATAGATAAGATTATCAATACTTACACTAATCAAATTGAAACCTGTATTAATTCATTAATAAAAAATCGGCATTCAGATTTATCAACCCCAATAAAAATGTTTAAAACATCGATCAACTAATATTTTTGTTTCGTAATTTCAATAAGAATATCCCCTCATGAGATGGTTTTTCTCAAAAACATAATTTATGAAGTTTGAACTTTATGATGACAAATTAAAAAAATGCCGGCTTCCCTTGTCAAAAAATGTCAAATTTATCCTTGATATAAATACTTCAGATATAAACATCTGTCTAGTCATGTGATAGTAAATAGTTGTTGTTCCCTGGTCATTTAATTATAGCTGTCTCTTTGCAAACATAAATGCATCGCACATACATGTACAGTATTGTATATACAATGTATATGTTCTGTACTTATCTGGGCATTTCAGCACATTTTTTGTCAATATATTCCTCATCACGGAAAATCCCTAAATAACCCGATGATATTTCTGATTAAATCATTTTTGTACAAGTTATTATATCTTGCATATCTTGTCATAATTTTTATGTAAGATTTTCTTGTCAATAAGATATTGAAGTGAATGTTGGTAGATCTTTTGTCGGAAATAATTAAATGCATTTTAGTAATGAATGTTTCTTAACATTTATTTACAAATATTCTTTTACAGACCCATTACAACACTCTTCCCCGGTAAGTCTTATATCTTCTTTGTTGCATTATTAACTCTTGCATTTTATACGATGCTTCACATGTTTTGCAAACTACCGAAGAGTTACCGGTTATGTTATTGTACAAAAGATATACAATCTAAATATCTGCGTAAGGGCTTACATCATATTGCCAATAAAATCATAATTAAAAGTTCCTCTACTACGGTTTTACTTGGTTTTTAAGGATAACATTTATTTTGATGCGTTATCGACATATGTTCTCTCAAGCAATATTTTTAAGAATTGCCAAATGAAACACTTCCATAGTTTTTATCTCTATATAAAACAACTTAAGGAAAATGTGTCAATTGAAGACAAATTTATTTTAAATATGAATATAATTTGGTTAACCTATTTTCTTAACATCGTTATCATTTTTTCGCATCTTAAAAAACCAACAGCATTTCAAAAGATAACACAATATGTTCGACGACAATATTATACTAAATATGCATTTTCCTACATTTGTACTAGCACAATATCTGGATGCGAAATCTAACTCTACTCTTTGCCATTTCTATTTGCTTTTTGTAGGTTGCAATATGTTATAGCAATCTAACCTGTAAATCCTTATTTGTATGTCTTTACACTGAATTATTTTAATATGAGTTTCTTTTCCCCCTACTTATGCAATTGGATACGCCCACTTGCATTTGCAACGCTTAATTATTTATATGTATCATACCAAAGCTATAACAGTCGCTGGCGTGTTTGTTAAAAGGGTAAGGAATTATAAAAAAAATATACATCATAAAGAGACAAATACAAATAATTGCATTGCCATTAGAAAAAAGAATGCTTTTACATACATCTCAATATAATTTCAGGAAATTATGCGTTATCTGACAAAGCAATTTCATTTAAGAACATTATATTACCCAAAATGTGTTTCAAATATTTAACGCTTATATAATGCTTATCACTGCTCAGTTTATCTTCCTAAGTTTTTACGAGTGATTCCCAGACACCATTTTATATTATCCATAACAGATTTATTGACTTATTGATAATAGATTTTAATATGCAACTTAATCAAGTACTTTGCTGCAGCTGTAAACAGTTGCTCCGTTCATCACTTCAGTTCCATTATATTTCCTGTCCTTCGCGTTGATTCCGGCACGTTACTATTGAGGATTATTAGTTGGGGCGTTGTACTTTGCCTTATCTCTAATGAACAAACGCAATGAAACCGGGTCTGCAATTTTCATGTCATATTCATTGCTGCCGAGGGATCATGCATTTTTCAGTTTTTAAGACGAACACTATCTTTACTTTAAATATTTTTTATGCAGGTACTCTGCAACAAATTTCATATCAAGGACAACAAGGGTACCTGTTAAAGGGGGAGAAGTACAAATTGTTTGTTGACATTGTGCACTTTAGCGATGCTGATACTTTGTCATGGTGTTATAAGACTGACTCCACCCTCACTGCAGATATAACTACTGCCCAATCCATAGCCAGTTGTAATCCAACAAGGTGTTTTGGAACAGAACCAAGACATACATTCAGCTCAAGCTACAGCGGTGTTTATATAACAATCACTAATCTTTATAGCTCAGACGACCAGAAATATTGGACTTGTGTCATGAATAACCAGCAAATATCCATGCAGCTAACCGTGTATTGTATGTTATATTTTTTCATAACAGTTTTGTCAAGAATAACTCTTATGACAAAAAAAACAACAATTAAAAAAAATTTTTGGATTTTAAAATTTAAAAAAATAAAAAATTTAAAGGGGCTTTTTTGTTTCACTATTTCAAACCCAAAAAAAGTCAGGAGGCAATGGAAATTTAAGGGGAAAAAAATTTAAAAATCCCATTTCCAACATTTTTTGGGTAAATCAATGTTGTTCCATAACCCAAAACTGTCAATTTTTTAAAAATTTTTATTTCCCTCAGGACAAGAAAATACAATACCATTTTTCAATTTTTTTAAAAATAATAAGTTTTTTGATCCCAAAAAATTAAAAAAAAAAAACATAAATCAAAAGGGAGGGGAAGGGCCCGGTTTGGAGGAATTTTAAAGGGTTTGAAAATTTTAAAACAAAGAAATATTCAGGGCTTTTTGGGGAAAAATTTTTTTTCACAAAATTTTTTAAATTCGAATGCATCTTTGGGGCGTAGTATGGCCAGCATTTTTTAAAGGGCGGAAAAGAATTTACATCATAAAAAAACCCGGAAACCTTTTTTTATTTTTTTATAATTAATTTTGCACAACCCCTTTTTGGAAAAGGGGGTAATATTTACTTTGTTAAAAATTTTGGGGCATTTTGCCCATTTGGGCTTTCCTATTGTACCCCCTTTTAAAAATATATTACATTATTTAAATTTTTCTAAGAATGAAACCCTATGGTACATTATGGTCAGACTTGAAGATTGAGCTTGTACAATATAGAGATGTTTCTCTTATAATGTTTGAAAACCTGTTTGGTAATGTCTTTGAATATATTCAAATACATTTAAACAAACATATTGGTACAAACTGAACAACATTGCTGCATCTAAACATAATAAAAGCATACATCATAAAGCACAATCCTATTTTGTAAGCAAGTATCTCATAAGTTAAATGACCGAATACTACAATTACTATAGATTACTCTGCGTTACCTTTGTTGAAGAAAATGTCATCAGCACTTAACACCGCCCGTCTTAAACAAAGCAAGCTGAAATGTTCTTTACACCTTATACTTTCTTTTTAAAAGATTCCAGATCTGACATATACACAAGTACAACAGAGACAGAGGCAAGTTATACGATGTCAATAGTTCTCGGGGCTGTATGTTTTGTTGTGCTTATTTATGCAATAGGCTTAACCATTTTGTATAAAAGGAAAACCAAAAAAGAAGGTAAATATTCCATTCAATTTTGATTATGTTTTTATGTTCAATGTGACGAATACTTTGACTAATCGTTTCTTATTAACCATCTTATTTGTACAAGTAAGGTTCAGCTTTACAAAACTTAAAAAAAACACTTCCCATTTCAGGCTCTGCATCAAATTCTGCAAATGGAACTTACGCGTAAGTTTACTCTTTTCAATAAGTATCTTTGACTTACAATTGCCATTTATATATTCATTTTGTTTTTAAATTTTCCTGAAATGTCCATTGTCGTGTTGTGTATTGGCATTTAAATTACATTTTAAAGGAATGTATTTAAGCAATCCCCGAAAGACAGTCAAGGTTAATGAAATTGGGTTCAGATTCGAATATTTCTTTGTCTTTATGAAACAACAATATTTCTAGATACAAACAAATAGGGAAACACCTAATTGGCTTTGATATTTTAACATCAAGACATTAACATCATAAAATTAAAAGTTACATTGTGTATTATCTGTATATTATTTGTTTTAACAGGAATGAAAACTTGGGAAATATTTCCGATGCAACAGTAGCACAACATTATGAAAATGAAGCTACAGTATTACCTTCACCACAATATACTGAATTGGCACATTATACTAACGAAAGGACAACATATGAACGCTTACAAAATTGAATTAAGAACTGCTTTAGATTTTATAGTCTGTTCAAGAATGTGAAACAGGTTCATTGTGTTTATTTCAGAAGTAGTTTGTTGGGTGTTCAGTTTCATATGATTTTGAATAAGACACATAATTTACTGCGGAATGACACGATTTATTTTGCGAGTTGTCAAAAAAAAATACCATTACATAAAATATCCACATACATCAGCTTACCTTTCGAGACATATTTTAAATTTCTTGCTTTGTTACAAAGTATTTCCTATTTCAATTTTATTAAACTTGAAGACGATGTTCTCTTATCTCTGTCTACAAATAATGGACTGTACAAATATTATTAGCGTAGTTTACCGGGACTTGATATCATGGAAACAGGAACGAATTGAATCATGCGTAAACGCGTTGTCTCAATCTTATTGTGAACTGTTTTGCATTTGACAAAAACATAAGTATAGATTGTATAACATTGTCATAAAACATCTGAATTGTTCAATCAATTGGTTTGTTTATCTTTAAAAACTAGAAAAAGAAATTCAAAAATGTAGATATATAAATCTTTGAAACCGATACGACGTCTGAGATATTGATGCCCGTATTTTGTTTTGCTTTCGAAACTTTAATAGCCGACTTTTATAAAGCAAAGCGTGGTCACATGTGTGCTTTTTTATTTTGGTTTGTTTTTGTAACGGGTCTGATGCCTTTTAAGTCTTTTCTTATACTTTAATTTTCAAATCTTAGGGTTAATTGACGATCGTTTGCTTATTCAAAGTTTAACCATTGTTTATTCGGGAAATTATTAATTAATGTCCAAGGCATTAGGATGATCCATTACAAATTCTTCAGCAATTTTTATATGTAAATAAGACACTTGGTGTCGGAGTCCTGCCGGACATATCTATTAACTTTTCCGACAGCATCAACTAAAACATGCACATATTACCACAGTATAAAACGAGTACATGCAAAAGTACGCAATAAGAAATCTATGTCATAATGATTTGCCATTAATTTCAATTTTCAAAACTTTGCAAATTTAGACAGACATTCCTCAAGGTAGCATTTTATTCGGTTCTTCTCAAGATATGCACAGATGACCATTGCTTGGCTTAAAGTTTATGTTGACGGGATTTTATGTATCATTGTGCGTTATGCGTGTCGATACATGCATTGTATATGCTATCATTCTTGTTTAAGCCTGTGTTTCGTTGTTTTTTGTCAAATGTTCATTTTGCACTGATCAAGTGAGGTGTAAAATTTTGTTTAAATTTTGCATTATTTAAGAAAATAAAATCGTTTGTTGTACAAAACAAGGTAATCCAAGCTACGTTTGTTTGCTATATTTTTTTGATCGTTTTCCTACAGTTTAAATGCAAACGCCATTCGCGCTATCTTCATACTCGCGAATCAATCCATTTATGAATACAAGATACATGGATAGTAAACTGATTTACCTTGCAGTATTTGGAAATAATTAGAAACTGTGCCTTTATACTGTACATAGCTGTATACATTTTTATACATATTGTTAAATGACTTTAAAATGTTGGTAAAAATGTGTTCTCCGTTGTTAGAAATAGTATGTAGTAATTTATAAAATAAACAATTTGCCCAGACTCGGTCGAAAGCCTGTTTGCAGTCTGGAAAACACACGTTGACTGATGAAGGATTTTCACGTACGCACTTCCATAATGAAAAACAGGTCATTTAACACCCACGGTGCTCTTGAAACCCACCTTGTTGAGAACTAATTGAGGATAATATTTGATTTTTACATTCCCTAAGCAAAATGATTTCAAACATTTTAAGTAGTGATGAAGTCAGATTAGTGGCTCTATAATTATTGGAGTCGTCTTGTTTCCTATTGCCCCCTTTATGAAGAGTAATAATTTTACCGCTTTTTAACGAGTCTGGTATTACACTACCTTTTAATATATAATGAATTATCGCTAATACCGGTGATAATATATCCGCACCATATAACAAGTGTTCGTGGGCAATACCATCCGGTCCGCTTGCCTTACCTCTCGTTAGAGTCTTAATGGCTGACTTTACATTTTCCTCGACTATAGTAACATTATCACCGAGATTCATTTTATCAAAAGTCTCTCCACAAAATCATACCAAGGCTTATCTAACTGTTCTGTAGCCGTAGGTTTATTATTATATGCAGAAATGTTTTAATACACTTATAGTGGAAGGGTTTGGTATTCAGGCTCTATAAAGATTTATTCTATAAAGAATAAAACTTGTAAAAAAATAAAATAAAATGAAATAACAATAAAACATCACATTGCAAAACAAATATTTTACGAGACAAGTACATATCACAAAATACATAATACAATTTATTACATATTATATATATGTAAGAAGAAATCAAAAACATTGAATAATTGAAATAAATAGCAAATATTTCTATTAATAAATGAATAAAAATAAACTAATATTATAGGTGTTTTCACTTTGAAAATAAGACAAGGAGTGGTTATAGTTACTCAGAAATGTTACATTTAAAAACCAAATCAACTAAAAATAACTTTTATACAAAATCAATCATCCGTCACAGAACTTGCAAAACCAGTTCAATCATTCATATCATGAAGGACAAGAGACGGACATGAACACATAACACTACAATAGATCTTGTATGGACTTAACATAAATTACCGTAAACTTCCCTTTTAAAAACAAAACTGGGACATTTAAACCCTTATCTACACTTTACAATGATGATATTAAAGGAAGATGTTTTTTGGGTTTAATTAGGGAAAGAGTAATGACCCGCCTTTTTAAAAATTTTATATGCTTTTTAAATAACACAGATTTTCTTTTTTGGTTTTTTTAAAAATTTTAAAATATATTTCCTATAAATGTTTTCCCTTTTACGGCTACTTTACTGTTAAAGGTACGTTTTTCAAACTTAAGACTTTCTTAAGAACTTATTTTTATTATTTATAAGAAATATGTTTTTTCTTCTTGTTGAAATTATACTTTGGAAAGCAGAAGTTTCGTTAGGGTTTACCGCTTTTATTTATTATAAGAAAGTATGTTTTCGGGACATTATTTGTTCGTCAGATTTAGAGATGATATAATCATATAATATATAGCTTAGTTTTATGTGTTTCACAAGGTAGTTTAGAAATAAATATCAAAGTCGGTGTAAATGAATCTAAGATAAAGTCTACTTAACGTATAACATGAATAATAACGAAAGGTCGATTTAGCACATCAGTCATTTTCATTTACTTGGTTTTTAGATAAAAACCAGAAAAGGTCCTTTAAATTCTATTATAGTAGAAGCGACTAATTATACCAAGAGAATTTAATTCAATTAATAATTTCATTTTTTTTCATGAGATTCATGTGATAAAGGCTAAAGTGCGAATCTACTGTCTGTTAAGAAGAACATTCTGTTCTCTTAAATTTCCAACTATCATCGACGAAACTATGCATATTTGTGATTTTATGGTGTATAATAAAAGTTAAAACTCTTTAAGATCTATTTTATATATCATATAACCTGTCATATGTTTTTAAAGATATGTATTATACAAAGTAGTTTCTCTTAAAAACATATAAAATATATAAGGGGGTCAATATGCTCTTCCGTACATAAGAGTGAATAAATCTTGAATTCAAGTTTAATTATTTATTTGCATAATCAGGCATAATTTACATTTAGATATAAAGTGCGAAGTCAAGGATTAACAATGTCAAATAGAGTCAACAACATTAACTATTATTAAATAGTATCTGATACTTACAACTCAACACCAGCTTTGCCTTATAATGTATAACGTATAATATCATATAAGCATTTGTACATCTCCATAAAATATAACACTTTACATAAACCAATATTCTCACTAACTCACAATGAGAGAACATAATGAACCCATTTGAAAATCAACAAATCAAAACACTGACAGAAATTTTATGTAAAAGGAGTAATTTGTAAACATGGCTAAGTTTCTTGTCACATGACATCAGCCTGTATTATGTATCCAAAGTAGGATTATATATAAACCTTGATGGTATGAATTTCCCCCTATTTTCAGAGTAAAGAGGACATGTAAGAACAAAATGAAAGTCCTCCTATTAAATTGAAACACGAACTACAAAATTCAGCCATACTAGATCTAAACTTTTCAACATCAAGCATTGCAATACTGTTTTCTAGATTATAGTTCTGTTAAAAATTTATATAACGATCGGCATCGTGCAGTCCAATTTTGTATATATTGGTCTTTTAACCTTTGCACATACTGCTTTTCACAAGTTTTTTTATTTATTATTTATGAATAAGAAACGGGATGTCAAAAGTGACATGAAAATAAAGAAATGATATCCTTGAAAACTTACAATGAGATTATGTGGAAATTTGTCAAACTTTACTGACAGATACGTATTTCATTTGTATATGTTTTTCACATAATTATAATATTCTTCTACTATTATATCAAACCACGTCCTGATAAACTGACGATGATATATGCAAAATAGTGATAATTATATAGACTATCGTTGCTGATACAATGTATTTAATTTAATAATCCTTTAATTTTCTGTCTCCGTTTTATCAAGTGCTTACATAGTTGTCATAGTAGCTAAACTTTATAATTTACTCATACATTTTTAACAAAATAAACATGTATATTAAGTAACCATATAAAAAGTCATTTGTTACTGGCAATTCACATGCCGTAAACAATATATTAAAAACACCTGTTTTTTTGTAATTCATAATACAAACCGAATTGCTTTACAAGGTCCCTCATTAGTTTGAACATGGTAAGGCGTTAGAATGTTATTCTGACTACGTGATAAATTGAATTTTTGTTACTTCCTGATTAAGTTGGTCGATCATCATCGTGATAACATTGTTGCAGGAAAAATAAAATGCTCTTTGTTGATCTAGATATGTTCGTTTAGATTAATAGCTGTGGAGTTTTAATTATTATTTAGATTATTTAAATTATTCAGTTTGTACGTTCGTATTAACTTCCCATACAAAACATTTACAGTGAAACGTCTTCTGTATATAATAACAACGGACTAAATGACGCTTAAATGATCACTACTAGTAGTTTATTATCCATGATTGTGCGAAATGCAATAATCTACAAATATGTAAATAAAAATGTCAACCATGATGCTTTTGCATAAATAAATATAATTTATGTTACCAATTTTACACCTCCAAATTATTCTCTTTTATAAATAACTCCAAATGGAGACACTTTTGAAATCAATGTAGCTAATAAAATACAACATTTAAAAAATTTTTTATGGAAGGGCATGTATAAACCCATTTTTTTCTCGTTTGACAATTATCATTTTTGCATTTTCATCTAATTTTATATCAGTGAAACGTTAATAAAAATTTTCGTCCCAACAATTTAAATAATTAATAACATTCGTCCGTGCTCAGAATATATTTATGATGTGATTATAGCTCTCTCACAAATTTTACACAAAAAAGCACTTTCGTTTCGAACATTAATATAACCCTAAAATAAGAAGATTAGTAGGATTTGTGATGTTGTCAAAGTAGACAAAACGTGATATTATACACTTTTTAAACTCCCTTAGCCCAAGAAGAGAATATTCAAGCTTTTAAAAAATAATAAATTATTTATTCTCTGTTTAAACAATATAGGACATTTATAATAATGTATTTGTCAGTGGACTTTGATTATTTGCAAATATATTCCTTTAAAAATGTCACAAACAAAACAAATGTGTGTTTTTTTTTCTTGAGAGGTTCCCTGTTTAGGTTGAACATGTCTTGAAAGCTAAAGTTAGGCATTTAAAATATACATAAACATCCCGCTCAACTTTGATATCGATTACTTCCTGATTATATAGGTTAATCTTCATCTGACATTTTTCATAACGGTATTGTGTTTGTGAAGTAGGGAATAGTTAAATTGTAAAGAAGCTATTATATTTTGATTTCATTCAGTATGAAGGACATTATTTGTCAGAGTTGAATGCATTTCTGTTGGAATTCATATCTATGAATTGAAGATAAAATCAACATTTGCTGCACTCTATCGGCAACAACATTTTGTGTTTACAACAAACCTTCTTTTTATCAAAATGACAAACGTTAATACCGTTTGGCAGTTCCCGGTTGATTTAAAACGCTTATATAAATCAGTTATGTCAATCATAATGTTCGTTTCATTAACTCTATTTATTGATGTCACCGGGACATAAAACACCAGTGATTTGATTAAACAACACATAACTGTAATTCTGAACTTTTTATTCCGCTGTTATTGACCATTATGTCTTATTGTGAAGTTTTTT